CTATGGGTACCCAATGCAGTACCTACATTAGTATAATTACTAAGAATTTTCGAAGTACCCATATCGGGTACCTTGCTGAGGCTTTCTCAGTACATGGGTACCTTGAACTCAGTACTTTCTCTAGGGAAATGCCATCCTTCAAAATGGAATCGGTTCCGTAGTGGAAAATGCACAAATACTTTGACGTCTGAGTAATCGTGACTATCCTCGGTATTAGATCCTCTTGCCACTACGTATCCAGCATCAGCTCTAAAACAAACTGATACTGACATCTAGTAGTTATGTATAGGTAATCTTCTTTGCTTCCAAGCTGGATGATATTGCGACTAATAGGATCACTACAACAGGTCGCCCATTACTATTATTTCTAATTTTCGCTGATTGGTTAACTACCATGTATCTGTTTGACTTGTAGGAGTCTTAAGCTGTACTCGCTATAATATTTTTCTGCGAAAGTGGCTAACGCCTACAACATTTTTTTTGTATAATCCTGTTTATTTGTGTAAAGCATTATTTTTCTTTTTGAGTTTCAATAAAACATACGCTTTTGTACTCGAACAAATTCTATCGACATTTGTATATTCTTGTATTGTATACCTTTTATATTAGCATAGTTCTTAATCAGCTTTTAATACATGGGCAAACTAAAACATTTTTAATTTGATTATAAATTCTGTTAAATCTGATAACAAAGATATTCATATTGAAGTGTTGACTTTTCTTATGACTATCGCTTAAGCTGCTTTTGGTGAATAATGTTTGCTTATTCACGGAAATCTGACATACCTCGATATCTCTAATGTATTATGAATAATACAGGATTATGTATAATGATTGCACATAATAAAGAGCATACTTGTTAAAGCATATAATAGCTATCAAATTTTCAAAACATATTTCACATAAATTTCAAGCACAATTTAGTCCATCATCACAACCAAGGCAAGTATAGTTAACGTTGACTATTGTTTCTTTGAAAAGGTTTGAAACTGTACACTCTATGAGAATTTAAGATTATTACAGAATGGATGCATTTTAGAAAGCGAAGCGTCAGGGAAATTCCTTGTATTGATGTTTGTAATGAGCTGTACTTCTAGCACATATTTCTACAAGTGGAGAGTGATTAGTTCAAATGATATTTTAGGTATGCTGTAATACATTTTCTTTTCTTATAGGAACAAATCGTTTAGAAAATGAAGTACTTACTTTCAGTCATCGTTTTATTATCAAGTATTGTGACTATTTACAGTCGTAACGAGTAAGTTTTAAAAGTTATAAAATGCTGTTATACAATTTTTCTACTCAATATAGTTTAGTAACTAGATCATATAAAGCTACAAATATTCACCTGTTGTTCGATTATTCGAATATTTAGAGACCATTTGACATGTACTGCGCAGTGTGAAGGATCAGTTTGTAGCACCTAAACGTTTGACGGTGCTTTTGTTTTGGGATCATAATGATGAAAGTACGATTTATCATCAGTTATTTTTTAATGGTTAATATGTAGAGGGATCAACGTGCTTCAAATCGTTTTGATGAATTATTGCAGGAGTGAGAATCGATCTGTTTGGATAAATTATCAATTTATGCCGCACTCTGTGAGCACGAACTTTAAGTAGTCCTGAATAATCGAATTTACCGTTAAAGAACCAATGCTAAACATGCATTGTATTTCTTTGTATGTTGAATGACGAGCATATTCTGTTTTACTTTAACAATATAAATCGTTTCTTCGTTCAAAGAAGTTACAGATCAGCTTAAACCATCAGTAACGCCCTGGACAGATTAGAAGAGCCGGGGTCTTCTATTCTGTCCTATCATTCACACGTTTTAGGAGGGGTCTTCTATTGTGTCCCTTAGAGAAGTGTTATTTTTTCAGTGTCCTTAGCAGTTAATGTCATTTTCAACAATTTTTTGCTTATTATTTCATGTGCAATGGCTCCTAGTAGTAGACGACAGAAAAACAGAAAGGAAAGAAACATATGATGAAAAAAGAGACACGTACACATATGCGAAAAAGCAAAAAAAAATCGAAAAATTCTCAGAAAAACAACTACTTATAAGGGGAGTCTTCTAATCTGTCTTTTGCTTCGCTCTCTCAAGGGGGGTCTTCTAATCTGTCCAGGGCTTTATCTTGGACACTGAATTTGTTTTGTTAAAATTCGTGAAATCAATTTGAGAAAGGAACGATTTGAAGGTGTGTTTGATCTCCACATACTTATATAAAACGAGCATCGCTCTCCTTGTTCAGTAATCCAATTTTCCGGTTATATTAAATCATAGTCTGAAATTAATTTTGTTAGAGCTCAGAAGTCATATTGAAAATGCTCTCCAACTGTGTAAAACAGATATAAAATGGAATGACAAACAAGGTCTGTACCTTTGTAATTTTGCATATCCTGTCAAGCATGTTCATGTTAATTTGTAGCTTCTAGGAGATCGGGGCGAACAAGTCTTTTGGAGTAGCCTATGTAAATTCAAAACTTTAATCCTCTTCTAGTGTAAGTCTGAAAACAACAAATTTTTATTTCATAGGTGTAAATGCGACGCACGTACTGATACTTCAGTGCCTGTTATGGTGAAAGGTTTTGGTACAATTGATGAATGTGGTGTTGGCTTGTTTCATACATGTTCATGTACACATGAAGCAATGACTGGGTGTGGTGCAAAATGCGAAAAAACGGTACAGGAATGGGTAAGATCGGGATGTCCTGGTGGACTTTTTGGTCTTAAACGTGGACACATTATGAGTCATCATCATGGAGATTGTCAAAAAGGCTACGGCTCTAAACGATATACATGTCCTTAACAGAAAATTAAGAATGATGTTTTCTTATCTTTTTTTAATGATACTTGTGCAGATTAATCATTGATTGAATAAAAGCTATTTCGCAAAAGAAATGTAGGTTAAACAAGTTTGTACTATGCTTTATCCATCAGAGAACATACAAAAAACATATTTACCATGTTGTTATCATGTCAGTGGATAAATGACTGTTCCATTTTGGTTTTGATCAAGTTAAGTTCAAGTGTCAATGGAAAAACCTAAGGTTATGCTCTTTGTCTTTACAAATTATCAAGCCGTTCATAAAGGTTTACACACAAATTTTTTCGCTTTTTTACTACACCAGAACCATTTTAGCAGGAAATATCTCCCTGATTGTGTTTCTGTATTCATTGGAAAAAAGTATAATGCACTGAGTATTTTACTCGCATTCATCAAGATTTGTACATTCATTCTCTGACCATAAAGGCGCCGAGAACTCTTTGTACTATGTGTGTGTTCACCTTATTTTGATTCAACGTCTTTGGGACAAATGAAGTGAATATTCGACCGACTAGATCCTTAACATTGCAATACTTGATCTTTACAGCATACGAACGTATACAAAAATACTAATAATAAAATGCACTGGAAACGCTTTTTTCGTTTGATTTTCGTGACTTCAAGTGCTCAATTCATCTGATTAACAGAGACGGTTGTGCATTTTATTATTTCAACGATGCGGATATTTCTTCGTTCTGCTGATAACCCTAAAGTCCTTGTATTATAGTGTTGCGCAAGGAAGAACCAGATATCTATGTCTCCGTCATCAAATGCGAACCAATTCGTTCTGCATCAGTTTTGCCCACCACGTTTGACATAATTCTACAGATCGCTAGTGTAGTGTTTTTCATTCTTCAACCATATCAGTTTTGATCTATTCGGTTTTAGTTTCTCATTTAACTGCTTGATCATCGGCTCTAAAGATTCGTCAGGCAAATATGTATCCAAGTTATTTTGATTTCTCTAGTTGCTTTAGTCTCTTCGTTCTTACTGCTAATTTTAGTTGTATATCTTGTGTGTTCTTGTGTACTAACATGAATTAGTTTTCTTCAGTTAGCATGCTGTTTCCATTTAGTTGCGCAACTAAATGGAAACAGCGTACTCGTTTAAAAGTCGTAAAACTTCATTATCCTTCATAATGGACTCCGGTCCGGGAAACCTCGCTGTATATCTATTATATTCGATGAAGCTTCTTTATAAACAATTTTATATTGTTAAAAGCGATTCGGTCTAATAGTACATCTGCTCAGGGATGTACAGTCGCCGAAGTTTATATAAAAACCCTTTTATCCATACCATATCGAAGACAGACCTAAAATCAACAAATATCGATAATGTCAGTCTATTCGACAGGAACTCCATATATGTCTGCTGGAATAATTCTAATACTCGATACTATAATAGTCGCCCAGATCTGAATCCTGTATCACAATTTCTGATTGTTCAAGTCGTAGAATACTGTTACGTAGACCCACTGATCGAAAATTTCTGTACTAAAAAACTGTTTACACGTTGGAATTGTGCCGACGGATATGAAAAGCCATTTTTATGCACATCTCTGATGTGTACAAAACGGGTGATTACGCGAGAACATAATCTCTGTGCAAAAAGTCTTATCGTAAGCCTTGATAAAAATCATGATTTTGGCTGACATCCAGCGACAATGAAAGCAATTTTTTATTTAAATAAAATTACATCTCAACTTGCTCTTTGCAAACAGATTATACTAGACACATGCTACTTTTAAAATATGTGAATGAATTCCAAATTCATACACCGTTTCTAGGTAAATTCACACTAACAATGGCGTCGGAAACTAAACAGTGCTATTTTGTCCCTCTAGGATCAGCACGATGTAGCTCAGCCCAGACTTCACTTAGACTTTATCGAAAATATGGAAAAGATAGCTGACAGCGAGAGTAACATATTAATAAAAAACTGAAATTAATTTAATTATGTCTTCTGTTAGAGAGGAGCAAAACATTTTTAAATATGGCTATTTTCACACTAAATGTCCGGCAAGTTTTTGAAAAATATTTTATTGATATCTCCCAAACTATCCAACTTCCACTCTTTTACGATTTTTTCATGTTATAATATTAAATATTTTCCTAAAGTTTCAACTTTAGAGCTTTAGTCGTTTCTGAGAAAAGTGCATGTTACCATTTGCTTTTGACAGCGAAAATGTCCCACGAGCTAAAGGTGACAAAATCTCGATGAAAAATTCACTTAAACTAGACTTTTTATATTCCGTTCGTTTTACCTTTTGTCTAGAAAAATAGCCTTTCATAAAACTTCCTCATAGATTGATTATTACTTTGAGACTAGAAAATGCTAAATAAAGCAATATTCCAATTTTTGCTTCAATCAGGCGTTAGCTTGTATGTGAACGAGTTAAAATGCATACTGTCAGATAGAGTTCATCGAGATCTATGGAACAGTGTATAATAATTGCTTTAGAAAGGCTATTTTGTTAGTTTATATCGAAATGGACTCCGGGATTTTGTGGCTTTACCCACTAAAATCGCGTTCCCTGTGAAAAATGAAAGTGGCAATCGGAAAAAGCAATTTTTTATCTACATTAAGCCTAAATTTATTGAAAGTCACTCGAACGCATGCATAAAGTTCAAAAGAAATACTTTTTCAAATTTTTTCAGATTAATAGTGCAATTACTGGAGGTTGGAGGATATACATATGACACATTCCTTTTCAGCAACTTCTATAAGAAGAGAAAAATCTATACAGTTACGACTTCAGAAGCTCAATGCTAGATGGACAGTGCACAGCATCAAATAAGGCTAGTTGCGGCTCCTAGTTTAGCTGCGAATAAATAGGATGCCCTTGGCTTTCAAATTAGATTGATATTAAAAAATACCACACGTTTTATCTTTTCGATAGGAGCCGAAATGTAGCAGATAACATTACATTTGGGCTATTCTTTTCCGCTTCTCCGTTATCTCAAGGAACAATAACAGCATTTGCCCAGTTGAATCAAATTATACTATTACTCCAAGTCCTGAGCTTTATCGTTGCTTTCTGTCTCTGAGTAGCCATTCACAATTTATCGTTGTATAGAAAAAAATAAACATAATGTTAATAAACTTTAAGATAAAAGCAACATCACATTGTTCAAAAACCGTTGATAGCGATGTACTCGCGCCTAGAAAAGATTAGCGTTAAAATATCAATATTTATTAACGATAACGGTTAGTTGGGTAGCAAATCGTCAAAAACTGTTGGTAACAATCAATATTATTGTTATACGTACAACCAAGGTAGCCATCACATTTTATAGGTGGAATAGACAATATACAACAATTGTTGATGAAAAAATAACCGGCTAAAGAATTCTGATACTTATCACAAAGATGTCCGTTTCCCCTTAAACAGGAATCTGGAAGACTACATGGTAGCATATCATCAGTGGTCGAAGTACCAGTTGCCATAATTAGAAGCAAAGTCATTGCCAAAAGAAATTGTCGGATTCTACAATTACCCATTTTGGAATAAATACAGTTATATTTCAGTGACGATGTTATTACAAGGATTCTCTGATTGTAACTCGTTTATATTTATATTTCATGCAGTAATCAGTGATGCTCGCTATGCTCGCACGTACTTTTTTGCTTTTTTCTCAGTCATAAAAAAGCGCTGTAAATAATTTATTGGCAAATTAAGAGCCATTAAAGGTAAGCCACGACCTATTACGGTATAATGCTGCTCAATCGACCATCTCAGATTCTTTCAAAGCAGGAGATTTCTCTAGAGCAAACATTTTCATGAATTTTGAGGAAAACCGGAGGTCTTAAAGTTGTTGTGCTGCTGAGATATTCAATTTTTACGAAAAGCCTCAAAAAACGAATATTCCGCCAACTTGAAAAGTTGTCAACTTAAACCACGTGTAACTTCGTAATGAGATATGAGTTAGACTAATCAACTTTATCATAAATACTGGATAGTGTCGACTACAAATTCAAGCAACGGTGAGCTCCGCACATGCTTTCGTTCTTTTGCAGTAGATGACGCGCCGACAGCCGCAATCGTCGATTCGGTCAACTTTGGCGAACAACCCTATTGAAACGAAAAGAAACATGAGATCCTCAATCATATTTTCAGATAGACTATATGTTGGACTGTTTCTTAAATCATTTTGACAATCTCAAGTATTTTCGTTTTCGATGTAGGTTGCTCCAAAGTTGCCACTTTTAGCAAAATGCGTCATTTTGGAAAATGGTTTTCTCCCTGGAAGCCGGGCAAATTTCCCGCTCTCTATGGTATTGTTGGAGTACACCAAATGCACTATCATGGGCCACTGTGGGATTTGTGTGCTCTCTTAAAATGGCTTAGGGAGTCCAGTCGGGAGGATCACGTTTCAGAGCCATCGTTAAATCAACATTTTCCTAGTACGATACACTAAAAGAAACGTCAAAATCAATTCATATAAGTAGTTTTCGACGAGGAATTCAATGGTGATACTATAACAAGTTGATTCTCACGTTAATACAGTTTCAGGTAGGGCTTATGTTTCGGAAGTCTCTCCTAATTTCCATTGGCTGGATTTTCAATAAAATCAACTTAAACTAGAGTGTTTATGGCATCAATCACTAATATTACACTAAAGCAGTTTGATCGAGTATTTTTGCATGCAACGCTTTTTTTCGGTGGCTATTCTTGTATAGCATGTTTAAATTTTACATTTTAAGGGTGACTGACATAACTATAGAAACTTATAACAGAGATCTGCGGTAGAATGCTAGATTTAAAATGCTAGATAGAATGCTAGAATGCTAGGTTGGTAAAAATTTAGAATAAATCGGTCAGGTAGAACGGTTTTTATGAGCAACATAGATGTCGTGACGGAATCACATTTTTAGCCTGTTTTTCTACCTCCCACAAACTTCGAATAATACTCTAAACCGAGCCATATTCAGAAAAAAAGTCTAATATAAAAGTTGAAGAGCACAAAAAGAGCTTTTGAATC